TTCACCTTCACCTTCACCAACACTTCACCGTCACCAAACACTTCACCTTCACCAACACTTCACCTTTACCTTCACCAACACTTCACCTTCACCAACACTTCACCTTCACCAACACTTCACCAACACTTCACCTTCACTTTTACCAACACTTCACCAACACTTCACCTTCAGCAACACTTCACCTTCACCAACACTTAACCTTCACCTTCACCAACACTTCACCTTCACTAACACTTCACCTTCACCTTCACCTTCACCAACACTTCACCTTCACCTTCACCTTCACCAACATTTCACCTTCACCAACACTTCACCTTCACCTTCACCGTCACCAACACTTCACCTTCACCTTCACCTTCACCTTCACCAACACTTCACCTTCACCAACACTTCACCTTCACCAACATTTCACCTTCACCAACACTTCACCAACACTTCACCTTCACCTTCACCTTCACCAACACTTCACCAACACTTCACCTTCACCAACACTTCACCTTCACCAACACTTCACCTTCATCTTCCCCTTCGCCTTCACCAACACTTCACCTTCACCTTCACCTTCACCTTCACCTTCACCTTCACCTTCACCAACACTTCACCTTCACCTTCACCTTCACCAACATTTCACCTTCACCAACACTTCACCTTCACCTTCACCGTCACCAACACTTCACCTTCACCTTCACCTTCACCTTCACCAACACTTCACCTTCACCAACACTTCACCTTCACCTTCACCAATCCCGTAGACTCAAGGAGGCTATACAGTTTGCTGTAAGGGGTTTCCGTAGACTGGATGTCCGGCGGGGCTTTGGAAGATTTGGCCACCAGCTTCCTCCACTCCTTCCGGTCTTCAGCTTTCCTGAGCGTGTCTCTGAGTTCCAGGCCTGTCCATTCCTTGATGTTGTCCTCCCAACTCTTCTTCGGTCTGCCTCTGCTCCTTTTTCCCTGGACGCTGCCTTGCAAGATCATCTTGGCAAGGCCGAAGTAATGGGTGATGTGTCCATACCATTGCAGTTTGCGATTCCTGACCAGAGTAAGAAGGTCAGCGTACGGTCCAATTTCATTTTTGATCCGTTGTTTGACTTCATCATTTGTGTTGTTTTCTTTGTATGATACTGTACCAAGGATTTTTCGGAAGCATCTCATCTCCACAGCTTTGATCCTTCTTTCAAGTTCTGCATTCAAGGTCAAGGATTCAGAGAACGCATCAGTCTGATCTTTGATCTAATGGTGATATCTCTGTCGTTCCAGATGGTTTTCAACTTGGTCATTGCTGCTGGAGTTTACGCTATTCAACACATTCAGTTATTTATATCCAACGACATCCTTGTGGGCGGTTGGCGGGTGCTCTGATGGGGTTTGCTTCTTCTTTCCCATTAAACATCTATCGTCCTTCTCTCTCCTCCTTTTTGTGTTTGTTACTGTCTTGTAACACCTCTAATCTTCGTCACTTATATGACCTTATTTTGTTGCAAGTGCGTAAAATTTTACTAAAACTAAAACAACATCCACACCCCCCCCCCCTGGGCTCCCGAGGTGTTGAGGTACAGTGTTCGCCTTTCTTTCAAAAGATCCCAGGTGGTTAACCTGACAGGGACGGACAATTTTCTTCTTTCAAATGTTCTTCTTTCACTTTCTTTTCTGGACTCTAACCATGTTCTGTCGTCTGCTTTGGTTTCCATTTTCTGCCCCCTCCCTCCCCTGCCTCTAGGCTCCTGACACTTTCTGCAGCCTTTCTGCTGCTCTTTCTTGGCTTCTTCTTACTGCTGTCTTTAAGATCTAACACCTAGCCTTCTCGGATAAGGGCGAAAAATCTCGGAGTCCCGTGTGTAAGTTGCACACGTTAAAGATCCTTTGGTGGTTCTAAAATCAATAAGAATAGGCTTCGGCTGCCACCTGGGCAAAATTGTAAAAATGAATTTCTACCATATTGAAAGTGCTTAACTTAGTAAGTGTTATAATATGACCTTATGCAATTGCTAGCCTCGCAAAACACTTGCCAAAAAAACTAACCAAAAACAAACGACAAATAACTTAAACAACCCTCCCCCCCCCTCCTTAGAGCCAGGCTAGAGAACTCTTTTGACCACAACTTATAATTTTGTGAAAGCTGCCTAAGTCTGTCATCAACTACGTTTCCAGGACCCTCGCTGTGAGCACGCACGGACTCACTATCTTCTCCTAATGAGGTCAACTTTTTTTTACCCTGAAGGTCAACACATGCAGACCAGCGAGTGAGTTTTGTCTACAGAGCTGTCGTTACAAAACACGAGGCCGGCGGGTGAGTTCAGTTAAATAAGTTCTAACATCGAGAATCTAGTACGCAAGCTAATAAGAAGATCGGCGGGCAAAATACGTGCCGTTAGAGAATTGGGTCAACTAGAGATTGCGATAAAGATAAAGAAAGAAAGACTCCAAAGACCCTCTGCCTCTCGCCTTGTTTATGACAAAAAATGTTTTACTTGAGCTATACCTCCGTGATACAAAGTTATCGTCGCCCCGGGTAACCTGACCGCTGTGGTATCTCCACTGATGTGTGTCAATGTGACGTTGACATTGTGGGGCAGGCCAAAACAAAAGAACGGACAGCGCAGATAACCAAATGAAAGTCAAAACACAAAAACTCTTACACAAACACACGGGTGGAAAGAAAAAAACCGGTATGTATATAAGGGAGGGCCGGAAGCCTGCACCATCCCACTCACGGAGACAGACAGACATCCACACAGCAGTCATGGCAGCCCGCTTCCATTTTCTGTGCGTCGCCCTCACCTTTGCAGGTACGGTACAAGTCATCTGTTTGTCTTCTCACTGCACTATTTATACTGGGAATTATTGAAACTTTACATCAATTTGTGATCGGTTTTGCTAGATTTTGTAATTTAAAAAAATTATTTGTTTTTATTTTAAGGTCGTTGATTTCTGAGGCCAGGGTGTTCTGATTATGCTATATGTAGAAACTTGCCATCGACTTGTGATCGGTTTTGCTAGTTGTGGTAGGTTTTTTTGTGGGGGGGTGGTTGTTGGGTTTTTTAGGATTGGGG